CTTGTACCTTCATCATCATCTTCACGATCACCACCACCGTCTTCCACTGCCATTATTTCTGCTGCCTGCATCGGCGTCGTCACTGTCATCCTCAGCATCATGGCTTCCACCACCCTCACCTCCAACGTTGCCGTCCTATCATTAATATTACCTTTATCATCTCCACCTCCATTCACAACATCACACCCAAGATCACCTCCATTATCACCATCACCACCACCACCACCACCATTGCCCCCATTGCATTGACCTTCATCACCACCATGGCAACCATCACCTCCAAGCCCATTTTCACCTCTATCATCACCATTATCCCTATTGTCCATGTCACCACCGTTATCAGCATCTTCACCACCCTCACCTCCACCTCTGCCATCTTCTCAATTATTTTCAGTCCGAACACTTCCACTATTATCTCTACAACTACCTCCACCACCTCCACCATCCCTATCACCACTACTCTCTCCCCCAAAGCTCAGTGCTGCACATTGAACCTGGTACCTGGGCATGGAGCCCAGTCACAGGGAACATCTTGCCTGGCTGATAGACACCACATCTCAGATTTCTCAAAGCAGAGCATCGGCAAGCCACGTGTCGGAATGATCCCTCTTCTTGCCGTGAGAGCTGGCCTTTCGTCAGGATGCTTCTGACAGAAGACAACCTTTGCCTCCCTGTCAGCCATGCCTGTACCTAAAGAGACAGCTTCTGTCTGGTTGAAGGATGGAGGCCACTAATGCGGGGCTGCCCTTGTTTGCATATTGATTGCATAAATTTGCATATCATTTGATCCCGGCCTCTGGATGCTGCACCATGGGTGTTTGGGTACCATTTGTGTATCACTGCATGCTAGGGTCAGGCCTTTGGGACTCGGGCACTTATTAACTCCCTAAAGAGTCTTTAATGTGCTGGTTCAGAAAAGAAGTTGGAATGCTTAGTTCTGTAGTCGCATGGTTGAAGGGCTCTAAGGTGGGGAGTTGGGCAGGTCCCGCTCAGAGCCTGTGGGGAGAGGGCAGCCCAGGGCTTCGATGTGGTCCACGGTTGAACATCAGTGTGTGTTGTGGGGGTGTTGGCTGCAGAGACAAACTCTACTTCTCATTGTCCATTCAGGACAGCAGGCAGCACAGCCACTCCTGTCCTCTTTGGGCCGCAGTCTACTCTCTGTGTGACCTTGGGCAAGTCCCTCCCTGTCGGACCTAGGAACCCTCTGTGTCAGAGGAGGAGGGAGAAGCCAGCTAATTACTAATCCTCTCCATAGGATTCTTGCTCTGAACTCAGTGGTTCTCAGCCCTGGCTACACATAGAGTCACCTGGGGGAGCTTTTCCAAAATACCAGTGCCCTGGCCCCACCCCTAGATAGTCTGATTTAATTGGTGGGCCCTGGGCATTGTTTATTTTTAAACAGCTCCCATGGTGATTCTAATGTGCAGCCAGGATTGAAAACTATTTCATGTGACTCTAGCCTCCTACCCCTCCCCTCCATCCTCTAGCTTCCAGCCATCTCCCTTGACCTATCTCCTTCATTTCTAGTGGCTAATCTCTTCCCCACGCCAGGCTCGCCTAGCCCCAGGGCTGGCAGGACAGTTGGATGCTGGTGCTTTCGTTTGAAGTCTCAGAAATAAATCCTCTTCCCTCCTGGGTGATGTGGCCCGTGGTCAGCATGTGGCAGGGCAACACTTCGCACTAACTGGAATTCCCTTCTCTCTGCCTTGGTCTAGCTCCACCCCATCTCCCAGCTGTGGCTGCGGCTGGTCCAGAGAGGGGTATGCAGGGGCAGGCATGGGGAAGGAGGCGAATCCTGCGTCGCTCTTCCCAACTCCACATCACACCCTGCCCCGTCAACCCCCCCCTCCCAGAGCTAGTGCGGGTCTCACCTGGCACACCTGGCCGTTTCCACTCTCGCAGACTTGGCCGCTCCATTACCGTGCCTGGATTGTCAGCCCCATCATAGCTCCTCCTGCTCAACCCTGTAGATGGGTCTCCATGTAAACCCAGAGCCCCAGCCCAGCCCCGGTCCTTGAGAAGCAGTGCCCAGAGCCACCTGAACCTTTTTTCAAAACAAGATGCAGTAAACATGGCTGTGTGTTGGCCTCCCCCAGACTCACTGGGGTCAGAACAGGCCTAGGGAAGGACAGGGAAGTAGGACAGAGCCTTCCCGCACCTCTCCCCACAGTCCCGCCCTGGGACATCTTGGCCTCTCCTGCATCCTCAGTTGCCAAGGGCAGGAGTGACCTGTGAGAGGAGGGCCTGCCCTGTGGAGGACCAGATGGGAGATTCGGTGTGTGCTGGCGTGGGGGGATGGCAGACCCCAAGTGAGGTGTGGACAGGGAAAGAGGTGAAAACAGGGGCTGCCCCAGAACCAAGAGTGAGGCATTAACAGCGGTGACGCTGGGGCTCGTCTGTCGGAGCTCAGATTCTGACTTGACCATCACCAGCTGTGTAATCCTGGGTCACAGGTTCCTCAGCAGGAAAGAGAAGGTAATGACTGCGCCTAGCTTAGGAGCTGGAGGATTATGTTAGAAAAAGCCTGAAAGGTGCTTTGTTGTTGTTAGTTTCTGTCAGTTTGATTTCAACTCATGGCCACCCCATGTGTGCAGAGTGGAACTGCCCGTAGGGTGTTCAAGGCTGTGACCTTTCAGAGGCAGATCACCAGGCCTGTCTTCCAAGGTGCCTCTGGGTGGGTTCGAACCTCCAACCTTTCAGCTAGGAGTAAAGCGCTTAGCCATTTGTGCCACCCAGGGACTCCAAAAAGTGCTTAGCACAGGGCTAGTGATGACTCGGTCACTGCAGCTATGATTATTATGAGGGTCGGTTCCACAGTGCCCTTGTTCCTGAGCTCCAGCCCCATTCCTTGTCCTTACAGTGTCCTTCCTCTGGGGCTTCAGGTCATTAAGGGGTGAGTGAGAGGGTGGGACTGGAGAAACTTTGCTGCCTTGCCCTTTGGAACTGGGGCTGCAGCTCCATATTGTGGGTGCCTGAGGCTTCTCAGGGAGGTTGGCGGTGACAGTAGCAGGGGCACTAGGGTGGAGCAGCTCCTAGAGGCTACGGCCTGAGGGAGGCAGCTCAGGCCCACTGCTAACGAGCTCTAGACTTGCAGAGCCTGGTCTGCATCCACCTGGAGGGGCAAGTGTCCAGAGGCCATGCTCAAACCACCTCCTTCCACTAGTAGTTAAGAGAACCAAGCAACTGATACACGCAGGGGTAGAACTGGCAGCATTTGGTGACAAATTGGAAGTGTGTGTGTGTGTGTGTGTGTGTGTGTGTGTACATATGCGGGTTTGGTGGGAGGGTACAGTAAGGCAGAAGGTGTGGATAGTTTCTTTGGTCTAAATGGACTTGAACATCCTTTTTCTGAAAGGCAGGGGTAGCTGGCTAAAGAGGGAGCAGGATGGTTATGCCTCATCCCCAAGGACCAGGATCCACAGCAAAACCAAAGGATCCCTCCTGAAAAAAAAAATGTAGCAACTTGGCAAGACTATGTACGTGTGCGTGCGCGTGTACACAGTCGCGCATGTGTTGCTGAGCAGCTATGGGTGTACCTGGCCAGCCCAACCCCTTTGTAGTTCCAGCCCCTTCTGGGCAATCTTTGTGTCTGCCCTCAGGGCACCCCTCAGAGTGGCCACCCTGGGGCAGGCTGGCAGGGGCTTGGGGCTATGGCATAGCCACGGAGGAGCAGGTGGGCGTGACTCTGTCCTCAGGGAGAGGCTGATCTGCCTGCACCAGGAAGGGGATTGCATTCTCTGGAGAGACTGCGCAAGGCTGAAAAAGAGAATTTAGCTTGAGGAGACATTTGCCGGCTGAGAAATGAAGGTACAATTCTGAGAAAGGCTTTGAAACCAGTAGGGGTATTGCTGCTGGTCAGAGGTTTGAGCTGTGACTTTCCACAGACTGCTGGGGAAGCTCTGGAAAGATAACTAAATTGTGTGATTGGCGTGGGAATGAGAGCAATGGAGGGGGCAAAGCCCTGGGTCAGGCCCTCCTCTTGGGACCTGAGTCCCAGGCACTGACTACCGTGTTTTTATGCAAATAACACACGTCTTCTACATTTGTTTGCCAACCGTGCCCTCCCCCAGTGAGGTATTTTTCTAAGCACCACTATACCAGTTTTTTTACATGCATGTAATCCTTATTAGATATGCTCAAATTTCTCTTCCACAGGAACCTGGAAGTCTCTTAAAGTTGGCTATATCCTTAACCATTTGCTTCCCGATGTGGAACCACTGCACACTTGGAAACCCCTCAGTGACAGAAAAGTTGCTGTTAGAGGTTGAATTTTGTCGCCCGACCCCGCAAAAGATATGTTGAAGTCCTTACCCCTGTACCTGTGAATGTGACCTTGTGTGGAAATAAGGTCTTTTTTTGATGATGTTATCAGTTAGTTAATATGGTCATACTGGAGTAGGGTGGATTCTAACCCCTTCTGAGTGGTATCTTATGAAAGGGGAGAACAGACATGGAGAGAGACATACGGGGGAAGATGGAGGCCCTGTGAAGATACACCTAAAAGCCAAGGAACGCCCGCGGCTACCAGAAGCTGGAAGAGACAAGGAAGTCTCTTCCCCTAGAGCTGACAGAGCATGGTCTGTTGATGCCCTGAATTCAGACTTCTAGCCTTCAGAACTGTGAGACACCCTCCTGTTCTTTAAGGCCAGCTATTTCTGGTACTTTGCTATGACAGACCTAGGAATCTAAGACAGATGCTGACCACACATTCCCTTCCCAGCCTGCACCCTCTGTCTAGCCCTCCCCGTTGCTCTTCTCACCCAGCAAGCCTCTCTTCTTGCTGTACCATCCTGTCTTTGCCCGTGCATTCCCTTCCGAGGCCCCTACAGTCAAAGGAGACATCTGACCACAAACCTTACTCCAAGAGGCTGTTTCTACTGCGACTGTATTACCTACTCCCTCACCCTAGCGCCCCGTGGACCTTGATCCTGACTTCATGGCTGAAGAACCACCTTCATGCTGTCCACCGGGGCGTCTTTCCATTGTGGGTGTTCGTGTCCTCAGAGAAAGAAATCCTTTAATGGCTGAGGAACCTGGGGAAGGAGAGGGTTCCGGCAGGTGTGAGGGGCACGGACAGTGATCTGTTGTTCTCATTCTTCAGTGACATTCTCCTGAGGCCCTGGGTGCCCAGCCCTGTGTCCAGCTCCACTGGAGGGACACAGGGAATGGGGGAGGAGGGCCCTTTCCTCAGGAAGCAGTCTGCTCAGGGAGATAGGAGTTGCACCATGGAGAAGACCAGGCAAAGCAACATCTAGTGGGGTTGGTGGCAGAGAGTGTGGCACAAATTGTGTCTCTGAAGCTGAAAATACGTGGCCTTGGCTAAGCTTGGGAGACCAGGGAAGGCTTCCTGGAGGAGGAAAACAAATACTCTGGGCAACTTACATCATTTTGCATGAGCTCAGCATACACCATGCAGGCCGCAGAGATCAGTTCATCAGCGTCAAGGTCGATGAGATTGTTGCAAGCCTGTCCAGGGAGGAAGGGGTGGAGGGGACAGGTCTCTCTGTGCACTTGGGCACAGGCAGCTGCTTGCAGCATTAAGAGAAGAAGGCCACTGCTCAGGGCAGTGACTAGAAGCCACCTAATCTCCCCCCACCCTGGCAGCTTGGCACAGCGTCTGAAAACTCACCATTAGAATTGTATATTTTGGGAGGGTATGGTAAACGTAGTTTTCATACTGGGCTCTAGGGAGTACTGGGGTTCCACCAAGTATCTCGGGGGCTTCTAGGGGAGACTTGGGGGAAGGCATTACTTTTGTGTTTTATAATTGGGGCACCACCTCGGATTTTTTTTAAATCTAGGTGAAATTTACATAACACAAAATTAATCATTTTAAAGTGTACGACTCGGTGGCATTTAGCACATCCAGAGTGTTGCAGAACATCAAAATATTTTCATCTCCCCTAAAGGAGACTCCTTACCCATTAAGCAGTCACCCCCATTTCTCCTTCCCCCCAGCCCCTGGCACCACTAAGCTGCTTTCTGTCTCTATGGATTTGCCTATTACGGAATCATACAATTTGTGACCTTTTGTATCTGGCTTCTTTCACTTAACGTAATGTGTTTGAGGTTTATCCACATTGTAGCAAGTATTAATGCTTCACTCCTTTGTATGGCTGAAGAATGTTCCACTGTGTAGCTATACTGCGTTTATTTACCCTTCATCAGTTATGGGCGTTTGGAGTGTTTCCACTTTTTGACTATTTCCACTTTTGGGCTATTATGAAAAATACTGCTATAAATATTCATGTACAAATTTTTGTTAGAATATGATTTTTCAGTTTTTTTAGGTATATACTTGGTAGTGGAATTGCTGAGTCATATGGTAACTCCATGATTAACTTGTTGAGAAACTGTCAAACTGTTTTGAACAAAGACTTCAGCTGCATTTTCAACATGTCGGAAAGCTATTTTTCCCCCAGCAAGATACTCAGGCCGAGGGGTTTATCGTAAGTCTGCTGAGTCTAACGGCTAAGAAGGCTTCAAGGCCTCAGTTTCCTCATATATTGAGTTATGATGATGATAACCATAGTCCTTCTGTCTCAGGCTTCTCATGAGGCTTGAAAGAGCTAGTCTATTACAAGCGCTCAGCACAGTGCTGGGCAGAGCCGGTGCTCAATAAGTGTTAGCTCTCATCACTATAGCACTGATGCCCAGCTCCCCTGAGCCTGGGTCCTTCAGCCTGGTATGGGGTGGGGTGCTGCAGGCTTCCAGGAGCCAGTGGGTCACCCTTGGCCCCAGGGTGCTCACCAGGAGGATGTCATCGCCATTCATGCTCTCCTGTAGCACCTGCTCGCGCACCATCTGCAGCATGCTGTAGGCCACCAGCACCTGGAAGTTCCTGCAGGGCTTCCCTGTCAGCAGCACCTGTGGGCAGCACAGCTCAGCCTTGGCCTGTGGCCTGGGGCTGCAGGGACCTCGGGATGATGAGGTTCCAGCCAACCGCATGCCTTTCCTGGCCCTCACTGCGGACGCACTCCTTCATTCATTCACTCAGTCAAGTGCTCACAGGCACTTCCTGGTTTCTAGGCATTGTGCTGGCTGCTGGAGGATTCAGAGACAAAGGCTTCAGGGAGTTCATTAGAGGGAGGAAGGAAGAGAGGGGGTGATAGTGAGAGCAAGAGAGAAAGAGGAAAAAGAGAGGGAAAGTAGAAGGAGAGACTGGGTAACTGTCTATAGCATTTGAGTGGAGTTTTGACACAGCGAATGGGAACTGAATCCAGGGGCATCACCGGAGGCCTGGAGGTGGTCATGTACTTGGACGTGGAGACCAGTAGGCCAGGAGGGAAGGGTGAGGCAGGTGGGACTAACTCATGGGGCCACTGACTACCAGGCTGAGGAGTTGGGCTGGATCCTGCAGACAGTGCTGGCCACTGGGCAAGGGCAGTGACGGGTGGTGGGCGTGCTCCTGGGGAGGTTCATCTGCTCATGGCGCTGGAGACTGTGATCAAGACTGCAGGTGAGACCTGTCCTTCGAGGCCCCGCCTTCCCCAGGAGAGAGGGCCAGCAAGGAGCCAGCACCCAGGGAGGGGAAGGCTGAAGAAGGGGCATCTGGGGCAGTGAGAGCAGGGTGAGCCCTTGAACAGGGCAGCCGACGTGCAGGTCCAGGCTTCCACCACACGGGCCAGGCGGGCCCTTCTGCCCTGACTGCCATGCAGAATGTGCGAGCCGCTGGCACAATCAAACCCCAAGCTACTAAACCCCAACCAAAGCCAGAAATAAAGGGGGGCAGCTCTCGTACTGCCCACAGGGTGGGGTCTGCTCCACTGTCCCCAGCTGAGCGCCTCACCTCCCAGAGCCTCCAGACGTCATCGAAGGACTTGAAGGCACGCTGGAAGCAGAGGCAGAACCAGGGGAAGAGGGACTGCACAGCCCCCGCACCCTTCCCTCCTGTGGGGAGACAAGCAGGGTGTCGGCCAGGGCCACGGTCAGTGCAAAGCATGGGAGGACACTCACACACAATAAAGTGTAAACATGCAGACAAGGCCAAAGAGCAGAGCGTGCAGAGCACTTGGGAAATGCAAAAACCCATGGTTATTTCTTTTCCAGCTGCCCTTGGAGACTGTTTGGGTAGATTTTCACCTGTCCAGAGTCCAACCCCTTATAGGGGAATGCTCCTACCAAGGATAGGAAAGAAGATAAGGACTCTACCCCCTTCCCCCACAACTGCCTACCCCTTCCTGCCATTGGCTGGATCCTGGACCCCCTCCCATGCCTGCAGGAAGGGGTGGTGGCAGGAGGTGGGGCCCACTCACTTAGGTGCTCAGCAAACAAGGGATCCAGGATGTTGATCAGGTTGTTGAGCATGTCGAGATTCTTGCCCACCCCAATGTTGATGACACAGCTGTGCTCCTGCATGAGATGCGGGGGAGGGAAGGAAGCCGAGCCCTCCTTGGCTTGAGGACACCGGAAGGGCAGCCCTGGTTAGCCAGCTCCCCAATTCTGGAGGCCTGTATGTGTCTGGTTCCCGGGGGGGTCCACGTCTCTGTGTGTCTGGGCACCTGTGTGTGCGTGGGGGTGGGGGTGTGCATGTGTACACATGCATGTGTCCGTGTGTGGTCTGTATATGTGTGTGTCTGCGTCTGTGTGTGCATATATGCATGCAGTCTATCTGCCTGTGATCTGTAAGTGCAAGTGTGTGTGTGTGTATGTGTGTGTGGTGGGGATGTGTGTGGTGTGTCTCAAGTGTAGCTCACAACTCAGCGAGCTCAGCTGTCCTTCCCACACACATGCCATGGGTCAGAGCAAATCAGGACAAGGAAAGAGCAGTGAGAACACTGTTGCAGGGGTGGAGAGAGGGGCAAGGGAGGGTTCTGGGCAGCCTCTCACAGATCATGAGGAAGGACTTTCCAGGGAGGGTGTTGCAGGGAGCAGCACCTTCAAAACCCCACGCCCTGGGCAGTGTGGGGTGCATCTGGAGAAGACTGGGTTCCCTGGTGCCGAGGAAGGGAAAAGTGCAAGCAAGACCAAAGATGGAGGCCTTGAATGTCTGGCGAAGGTTATTGGATTTTGTTCTGGAGGCTGAGGGGATCTGGGGGATTTGCAGGAGGAGAGCCATGATTTGGGCGGGGAATGCCAGGAAAGGGTGCCATCACTGGGTCTGCCAGCCAAGCTGTGGCGGATTAATTACTTCTGTGTGTGGCCTTACTAGCCATGATCTTGGTAACTCCCACCTAGGTGATTGTGTGATAGGGTAATTGTGGCCTACCGAGGGGATTGGTCAGTTTTGCCTTAAAAGAGAGCCAATTCCAGAGCAGGAGGAGGAGCTCACCACCACCACCAAGGAAGGAGAGACCTGGCAGCAGGAGACAGCACCGTGGGCTTGCCGGCCCACAGAGGGAGAAAGCCAAGTGTCTCTGGGGAGAGGCCTAGGGCCAGGGAGCGGCATGCCTGCGAGCACGGTTGGGAAGAGGCTGTCCTGATGAAAGAACTGTATCCTGAGTGTTCTTGAGCCTGAATTGTAACTGGTACTTCCCTAATAAACCCCATAATTGTCAATATGGTCTGTGAGTTCTGTGTGGCCATTGCAACGAATTATGGAACCCAGCCGAGAAGTACAGAGTGCTGTGTGAGGGACAGTTGGTGGCAGAATTACTAAAGACGGCAGAGAGAGGAGACATGTCTGACCTCTGCCTCACTGGAATCAGCTTTGGGCTGCCGATCTTGGTTCTCCTTCCCCCTTGTGGGCTAGAAGGAGGTCAGACACTGTCCCTATGCCATTTTTACACAAGCTCTTCAAAGTTTGATGAGAGCCGGACCCAGAGCAGACCTCCACCCGCCCCCCCTTCAACCCCAATACCTATCCCCTTAGAACATTCCCCACTGGGTTTGGCATTGCCCTCCTGCTCCTCCATGATAGAGCACTGTTTCAGGGCTGGGGCTGCTGAGTCTGCTCAATCTCAGGGTGCTATCCGGAGAATCAGGATCCCTGAGCTCAGGCCTAACCCTCACCGTTTTCTGCAGGAAGAACTGGAAAAGCCAGAAGGTCTCGTGGTCATGCTCCACCATCAGTTGGAAAAGCATCACCATCTCGTGGAAGCCCTGCTGGTACTCTGGAATGAAGAGAGGGCAGATGAGGACGGGCCAGTGTGAGCGTGGAGCCTGGGCTTGAGTAGGGCAAGGTCTAGGCCAAGTGAGGGCTGAGGGGGAGTTCAACCTCTGGCTCACCTGCCTGGGTGTTGCAGACATAACTCAAGAGAAGAATCTTCTCCAGCCTTTTCTTGTCGATGAGGACGTTGCCGAGGGGGTCTTTGTCATAGAGTCTCTGGATGTCATATGCTATGTTGGGGGCAAGGTACAGGTAGGAGGTATCAGATCACCTCCAGCAGAGGGGCCAGTGATGAGGTTATTTCTCCCACCCTAAGAGAAGAGACCCTAGGGCATCCTAAGGAGGAGCTATGAAAGGAACATCAGCCCCCACTAGGCTCTACACATCACCACACTCTGAGCTATCTGGGTTTCTCCCCCACCTCCAAATCTTTGGCCAGGATGTACCTTCTGCCAAAAATGCCCACCCCTTCCTCTCTTCCAATCAAATCCAACCTAGTTCAAGTCCAAAGGAGGAAAAGAGGAAGGCAAGGCGAAGGAACAGCATGCGCCCAGGGAAACACAGTGTTGTGTATCTGGGGGCACCCAGGGGAGGATGGTGGACAGATTTACCAAGATTCAGCTGGCAAAATTTGAGGCACACATAGATGCAGCTCCCAGGAACTATCCGGCCCCAGAAATCATTGAGAAGGGGCAGCATGGCTTCAAGCCCTGCCCTCTATCCCCCTCCCCACCCCACTCCTCTCACCAATATTATTCCGAGTCTCTATAAAGTTCCGGTGCAGGTTTTCCAGAAGGGGCTGGATCTTCTCGTACATCTCACATAAGACCTTGTAGTTCTTCCTGTGAGAACAGGGCTGACGCTAAACAAGGTAGCCTTCCCCTTCCAGGCTCATGGGGAAGAGCTCTGAGCAGAGGCAGCTGCCATGTTCAAGGCTGTGCCTCCACTTGTGATGCTTTTCCCTCTTCTCTGCCTATGCCACCCCTAGCCACTCTTTCATGCCCATCTGGAATGCCGCAGTGTTCACCGAGGATGTGGGCTCTGCACAGGCCCCCGCTCCTTTGAGGGCTGCTTGGAGGAGGTGCACTGTTTGATTAGGGCCTTGAAGGCTGGGTGAGATTTGATAGACAGATGAGGGGAGGCCATTGGGGGTGCGGGGGAAAGAGTGAAATAAAGTTCTCTCAGAACAAGAAGTCCATTTGGGAGAAGACTGAATCCACGAGGCTGGAGTGATAAACCTCTCCCACCTGCATCACCTCCCACCCTCCCTGACAGAGGATCTGGAGTGTTCTACCTCCTTGTGCTGTCCACCGTGAGCCGCTCATCCCGGGAACTCTGCCATGAGTAGTAGCCTGTGAGGAACTTCCACGCTTCTGTCCTCACCAAAGGGTGCAGGCCCTGGGGTGGGGAGAGGGTGGGAGGTCATGGGCCCTCTGCTACCTGACCAAAGGGCCCCTCCCAACGCCACACCTGCCCCTTGCCCATCCACTCCTCTAGTTCCAAGGCATGGACAAGGCAGCCTTACTCTTTCCAGGATATTAACACAAATGAAGTCCCGTGACTTGGCCAAGTACCCGTTCTCGTCAAAGAAGCCATCCCATTCTGTCTTGTCGATGGGTGGTTTTCTCTTCACCTGCAAGGACAACCACGTCAGCCCTCGGTTAGGAAACTTTGGCCTTTCTTTTTGAGTGTGATTTTTAAATGATAGGCTCTGCATTTTGCTGTTTGAATCACAGTTCACAGCCTCTGACTTACTTCTGGAACACTATCCTGAAGAATATATAGAAAAACTGCTGTGTGCACAATAATTTTCATTGCACGTTACGTACCAAGATGAAAAATGCAAGCACTTTAAATGTTCTGCAAGGGGAATAGTTAAGTAAACTATGGTTTATATACTCAGTGGAATATTGCGAGGCATACAAAATGATGCTTACAAGGAATGAATAATAATCTGGAAAATACAAATGTTAACAAAAACACCCCACAAAATTGTACAATGTCTATCTTCTCTATGTACTATACTCCATATATGTATGTTATACATTATAAAAAGTATGCCACATATCCTCATACATACTGCACCAACAGCTATTAAAAACTGTTAGAAAAAAGACCAAAAACAAATACACCCCTCCAAAAAAAAGTAATCATCTTTGGGTGATAGGATTATAAGCAATCATTTTTACTTTTTCTTGTATTTAAAATATTTTTTAATAATAATGCATACTGCTTTGATAATGGGAAAATATTAAATAAACAATAAGTAAACACATTCATGGACTACATTTTACCTTTCTTGGAAGAGCAAAACAGTTCATCACGAGGAATGGTTTCTGGTTTAGATGAGGTGTGTGTATTGTATATATGTGTGTGTGTCATGGAGCAGGGGAAGGGGCGGAGGGAGAGGTGAGTGTACTGCATACAAAGTAATTAAAAATGCTCATAAAACTAAGAGTTAGAATTTCTATTGGAATGGGGTAAGAGAGATTCCTTTCTTGCTAGGGTATTCTCTCCTACTGGATACAAGAATTTCTTGAAATGCCACATTGTATACATAAAGATGTGTTGATGGAGAGAGCTTGCCAGGTGACTAGACATGTTCAAGATACATCCTTCCAACTTCCATTCATACACACATGAATATGTCCACACGTGGCTCAAACTTTAATTTGCATACGAGTCACCTGAGGATTTCGTTAAAACACAGATTCTGATTCAGTAGGTTTGGTGTGGGACCCAAGAGGATGCATTTCTGACAAGCTCCCAAGTGATTGCTGTTGCTGCTCATCCATGGACTACATGAGTAGCAAGGTGCTAGAAGGCAAAATAGCTCTGTAAACTAAAAATCTGGGATAATCTACACTAACTGCATGTTTGGTGGGGATGGATTGAGAAGCATATTCTTTAATAACTCACACATGCTCTATCTTCTGAACCAAAATAGGACATACGAATGAACCCAAGAAGGTATGAACAGACTTGACCTTGGTCTAACCTTGGGAAGCAGGGTCTGCCCTATGCCCTGTTCTAACTGCACAGACACTTTTGTCTGAACCAATCAGAGCCAGCCTTCTACCCGTCTTACCACCATCATATTCTCCCAGTCTATGTTCATTAAGAAACCGCAACACTCATCGTGCAACGACGTGGCAGAAAGTAGAGGGAAACAGGCAACTTTGGGCTGTTCCCTGGTATCCTTAATTCTAAGAGGAAATGCATTAACTTAGGAACACATTTCCATATGAATTTTAGTCACTTTCTCAATTTCTATAACAAAAACAGCTATGACTTTGATTGGTGTTGCGTAGATCATTTTGGAGAAAATTAATATCTTCACACTATTATGTCTTCCAACTCGTGAATGCAGTATATTTCCCCTTTTATTTAGGTCTTTTAAAAATCCTCTAAGCAATACTTTGCATTTTTCAGTGTACAGGTCATATATTTTGTCAAATTTATTCCAAGGTATTTCAGATTTTTGATGCTTTATAGATGGTATTGTTTCTTAAATTTCAGTTTCCAGTTGTCTGTTGCTAGTATATAGAAATACAATGAATTTTTACATATCGATCTTGTATCCTGAAGCATTGCTAAACTCATTTGTTAGTTCTAGTAGCATCTTTTGTAGATTCCATGGATTTTCTACATTGACCAGGGATCAGCAAACTGTACCCCATGAGCCAAATCTGGCCTCCTACCTGGTTTTTTAAATAAAACTTTACTGGAACACAGCCACACTCATTTACTTATGTATTGTCTATAGCTGGTTTCACGCTACATTGGCAAAGTTGAGTAGTTGTGACAGAGACCACATGGCACACAAAGCAGAAAATATTTACTATCTTGCAGTTTTATAGGAAAAAAAAAAAAAAAGCCAACCCTGACGTAGAAGATCATGTTGTCTGTGAATAAAAACAGTTTTATTTCTTCCATTCCAGTGTGAATGCTTTTATTTTTTTTTCTTGCCTAATTGTCCTGGCTAGAACCTTCATTATAATGGTGAATAGAGGAGTGAAAGCAGACATCCTTGCTTTGTTCCTGATCTTAGAAGAAAAGCATTCATTCATTCACCATTCACTGTGATGCTAAGTGTAGGTTTTTCATAGATGCCCTTTATCAGATTAAGAGCGTTTCCTTCTATTCTTAGTCTGCTGAGAGTTTTTATCAAGAATGAATGTTGGATTTTGCCAAATGACGTTCTGTATTCTGTATCTATTAAAATGATCACATGGTTTTTCCCTTTTAGTTTGTTAATAGGATAAATTATATTGAATGATTTTGAATATTAAACGAGTCTTGCAGTCCTGGTATAAACTCCACTTGGTGATGATATTTCATCTTTTTTTTATATATCATTGGGTTCTACTTGATAAATTTTTGCTTAGACTTTCTACATGTATGGTCATGAGAGATATTGGTCTGTAATTTTTTTTTCTTGTAATGTCTTTGATTTTGATATCAGGGTAATGTTGGCCTCATAGAATGGGCAGGAGTGTATTCCTTGGCTTTTTAATTTTCTGGAAGAGTTTGTGTAGAATTGGTATTATTTCTTCTTTAAATGTTTGGTAGAACTCACCAATAAAGCCATCTGGGCCTGGAGATTTTTTTTTTTTTGGGAAGGTTTTTAACCACACTTTCAACGTCTTGATTAGATACAGGGACTGAGTCAGGGGAAATTGTTTTATTTTTACTTTAAGAATTAGAAATTTTAATCCAATTAAAAAACCGGCAAAGGAAATGAACGGACACTTCAACAAAGAAGACATTCAAGCCGTCATGACACATGAGGAAATGCTCGTGATCACTAGCCATTAGAGAAATGCAAATTAAAACCACAGTGAGATACCATCTCACCCCCAGCACTACTGGCATGAATCAAAAACACTAGAAATAACAAATGTTGGAGAGGCTGCGGGGAGATCAGAACTCTTATGCACTGCTGGTGGGAATGCATAATGATACAACCATTTTGGAAGACAATACGGCGCTTCCTTAGAAAGCTAGAAATAGAAATACCATACGATCCAGCAATCTCACTCCTGGGAATATATCCTAGAGAAATAAGAGCCGTCACACGAATAGACACATGCACACCCAAGTTCATTGCAGCATTGTTCACAATAGCAAAAAGATGGAAACAACCTAGATGCCCGTCAACAGATGAATGGGTAAACAAACTATGGTACATACACTCAATGGAGTATTATGCAACGATAAAGAACTATGATGAATCTGTGAAGTATCTCATAACATGGATGAAACTGGAGGACATTATGCTGAGTTAAATAAGTCAATCACAAAAGGAAAATATTGTATAAGACCTCTACTGTAAAAACTCATGAAAAAGTTTACACACAAAAAGTAACAATCTTTGTTGGTTATGAGGGATGGGAGGGGTGGGGGGAAACACTAAATAGACAAAATAGATAAGTGGTAACTTTGGTGAAGGGTAAGACAGTACACAATACTGGGGAAGCCAGTACAACTTGTACAAGGAAAGGTCATGGAAACTCCATAGACACATCCAAACTCCCTCAGGGACTGAATTGCTGGGTTGTGAAGACCATGCTATCAGGGAACATCTAGCTCAATTGCCATAACAAGCTTATAAAGACAATGTTCTGCATTCCACCTTGGTGAGTAGCGTCTGGGGTCTTAAAAGCCTGTGAGCGGCCATCTAAGATACTCCACTGATCTCATCCCTTCGGGAGCAAGGGAGAATGAACAGAACAGGATACAAGGAAAAGATTCGTCCAAAGGACTAATGGACCACGGCTACCACAGCCTCCACCAGACTGAGTCCAGTATAGCTAGATGGTGCTCGGCTACCACAACTGACTGCTCTGACCGGGATCACAACAGAGGGTCCTGGACAGAGCTGGAGAAGGATGTAGAACTAAATTCTAACACACAAAAAAGACCAGATTTACTGGCCTGACAGATACTGGAGAAACCCCGAGAGTATGGCCCCCGGACACGCGTTTAGCTCAGTGGTGAAGTCATTCCCGAGGTTCACCATTCAGCCGGGGATTGGACAGCCCCATAAAACAAAACGGGACTAATGAGGCACGACAGTCCAGGGACAAGGACTAGAAGGCAGGAGGGGACAAGAAAGCTGGTGATAGGGAACCCAAGGTTGAGAAAGTACAGTGTTGACATGTCTTGGGGTTGTTAACCATTGTCATAGGGCAATATGTGTACTGTTTAATGAGAAACTATTCTGTTCTGTAAACCTTCATTTAAAGTATAAAAAAAAAGGATTATCGATGTGAGATCAAATTGACAGTAGCAACTCAGAAGGTTTGATGGGAAGCCTAGGGGGCAGTGAGTTGAAGACAATGGCGATGGAATAATTTGGAAAAGGATAGTGAGAATAGCAGCACAACTGGAAGAATGTAATCGATGTCACTGAATTGTACATGTAGAAATTTTTGAAATGGTGTGTCTTTGGCTATGTATATTTTCACCAAAAAAGAAAAACGGTCCTCCAAAGTCAAGAAGGGAGAGTGTTGACATGTGGGTTTGTTAGCCAATGT